ATGGGACCATATAGTTAATAGAGTATAACCTGTACAACCATACCCAGTGCCCATGGTTATGGGGACTACACAAGGTAGTGCAAACAAAGAGCTTAGAAGAGTGCTGGTGATTAATAAGTGGTCAATAAATGTTAGCTGCTATTAGGACTGGAGTAGAGATGTGAAGAGGAAGTGCTCAAAGATGGTCTTTGTAAACCATGTGAAGAGGTTTGGAATTCACCCAAGAGCATTAGTCAGATTTCTGTTTTAGAAAGAATGGTCTGGCAACAGAGTAAAATGAAAAAAGGTTTAGAGTTAAGACTGGAAGCAGGAGAGCTGTTAGGGAACTGGAGTCCAGAAGAGAGATTATGGTGGCCTGGACAAATGTGGCAGTGGTGGAGATGGAAAGTATGCGAATTAGTTTATGTGCCATGAGGTGAAAAAGGTTGAAAATCGCTGGACTCATCTTATTTGACTCAAGTTATTTTGTGATCATTTGCAGTCTTGACTCCAAACCTGTGCTGCTCAATATGCTAGCTACTAACCACATGCTAGCATACCAAATGAACACATACAGGAAATTAAAACAATCATTTTTGCCTGATAGATGTGGGAGGTTAGGTAGAAGAAAAAAGGTCGACTCAGGTTTCTGGCTTAGTAAGATGGGTAAAATGTGGTGCCATTTATTAAGATAGAGAACACTAGAGAAGAACCATGCTGCATATGTGGATTCTTTTTAGGAGTGAGGAGTTGACCTTATTGTGGAACATGTTGAAGTGTTGAAGACATCCAAATGGAAATGATCAATAAACAGATTATATATATGTATTTGCTTTGGAACACCATTTAGCAGAACTTTCTGCAGTGATGCAAGTGTCCTATATTTGTTCTGTCCAATATGACAGCCACTATGCCAAATGGCTTTTAAGCATTTGAAATGTGGCTAGTGTTCCCAGGGAGCCAATTCTTTAATTTTATTTAAGTTAAATTAATTTACATTTAAGTATTCATGTGGTTAGTAGCTAGCAAATTGAACAGAACAGGTTTGGAGTCAAGGCTGCAAAAGACAAACAAAATTTGACTTGCGTCAAATAAGATGAGTCCAGCGATTTTCAACCTTTTTAACCTCATGGCACATAAATTACTAAAATGCTGCAGCACACTAAGAAATACATTTTTCCCCCCAACCTAACAACAACAAAAAGGTATAATTTTGATTCATTCACACTGGACAGCTATTGTGCTGGCTGTTGTCATTTATTAATTTGACAATCTAAGGGAAAAGAGGTCAGTGCCCCTGACTAAAGATAGTCAGGTATTGCATGTTTTAAAAATTCTTGTGGCACATCAGTTGAAAATCACCATTTTAGTCTAATGGAAATTAAAGTTGGTTTTATACTGGTTACCTTGAAGTAAGATTTACCTGAAAGAATCCCTAATTTGACCCTAACAGCATACCAATTTTTTTCATATACATTAAACCTGTTGTGAACTTTTATTTATCTAACTTCTAAGCACAGTTCCAAACCCTAAATTAATTTACTGTAAACTTGCATAGTTCTTCCATCAATCATATTTTCCCAGAATCAAATGTGTGTAGATGAGTGGGGTGGGAAGGCTCTTATATCTAGAACTTCAACATTTGGTGAACAAAATCAATGATCACTCTTAAGTATATTCCTTGTAATGATTTTAGACATAGCCTGTCTCATCTTCCCAGATTAGAGACCAAATGTTTTCAGTCAATCCACAATGCAATTCTCTATGGCAAAAATATGTGCAAGTCCTTATTCCCAGAATCTGTGATTTACCTTGCATGGCAAAAGACTGAATTAAGGATCTTGAAGGGTTTATTTTGGATTATTTGGGTGGGCCTTAGATGCAATCACACATACAAGAGAAAAGCAAAGGGAGATTTCAGAGGAGAAGGTGATGTGAAGACAGTTTGGAGCGATGCCATCATACTCTAAGGGATGTCAGGTAGCCACCACAAATTGGAAGAGGCAAGAAAACGGCTTCTCCCCTACAGCCTCCAAGGGAAGCATGACCCGCTGACACTTTGATTGCAACTCACTGAAACTTATTTTGGACTTCAGAACTGTGAGAAAATAAATTTCTGTTGTTTTAAGTCATCATTTGTGATAATTTATTAGTGTAGCCATAGGAAACTAATACAAGTGGTCAGAAACAGTCTTCAGTAAAGACGAATGCTCTACAATACTGACAGTCTACAGACCAACCCCTTTTTGTTTTATAAACTACAAAAGTAGGGCAGATAGTTCTCCAAGACTGGATTCTCCTGTAAAACGCAGGGTTTTACATTTTGCCTATATGAAACTTTTTTTGAGGCTTTTGTACCTAATTTGTTCATAACTTATTGTTCTGGGAAAATACTGAAATTGTTGTCTGGTTCTTGAAATAATGTATTTCACAGATAATTTCCAAAGCTGGATAAGTATTACATTTATTTAAAAAATCTCAAAATGACTCCATTAGACATTTTATATTAACTCTAATTTTAATGTTTGCTTAATTTTGCCTAGCTTATTATTTAATGCATATCCTACTAGAATGTCAGATACATGAAGGCAGGAACTTGGATGATTGCTGTGTCCCCAACACCTACAATAGTGCCTGGCATAGTTAATAAATATCTGTTGAATCAATGTGTGATTTGTCTATTAATTCCTTTTGCTGTTACGTTTAAACATTAAAATAGCAGATTCTTTTTGGGGGGGAATAATTCATGTAGAACAAACATCATTACATAAAATAGACAAAAGCAGATCTGCTCTAAGTTATTAGTGACGAATGTGGAATCCTGCTTACCCATCTGTAACTTATTACTAACATTGTAGCATATTCTATATTGTTATAATATTCATGAAAAAAATTCCTAAATTTGGAGTTCAGAAAACACTGTCTTTTTGGGAAAACAAAATTTATACCTAGGGTAAAAATTCAATTTGGGAGGTTTTTGGGCTTCTACTTATGAAATGGACAAAAGCATAATTGCAGAGGAAAGAATCAACAGTACGTTTCTTTAGGAACACAACAGGGACAAAGGTTACTAAGAAATTATATTAGTAATCTGTTTCCCAGTTTACCTACCAAGCAGGGGGATACAAACAGCTGCAGCTTTGGGATCTGGCTGATGAGTTCAAACCCTGGACTGTCAATCACTGTGTAACTTTGAATGAATCTCACCTACAATATGGTGGTAATCCTAGTATCTACTTAAAAGGGTTATTGTGAGGATTAAATGAGATAATTACTATGCATAGGATGTTACACTGTAAATACACAGTAAGTGGTAGTTATTAACTAGACTAGATGTCAAAGTTCCCATGATGACCTATTTTCCTTTCCCTAATATCTTAGTGTTTAAATTGCACGTTTGCATCAAGTCCTTCACTTCAGGCTATTTTAACACTGGTAGTAGAGTATATGGAAAAACTGCAAAAAATTTAGAGGCCAAAGATGCAGTTTTGAATACTTTTCCTTATTTTAAAATGTGAATGATGCCAATATGTATTTTCTCTGCATCTCAGAGTTGGTATGGTCAAATAAGAGAGTAAGTGCTTACATGGATATTGATCATCACTTGCCTACCTGCCACTTCTCCATCCCTGCCCATGCAACTCACTGCAAATTCCTGACTGGGTATGCTTGATGAGGACTCCTTTCCTTGTTCCCCAATCCAGGAGGCACACTAGGCACTTTATGGGCCCAGGCCTGCTTCTATCTGTGAGGTTTCATTTAGAAATTTTAATCCTAATCCCAGTTATTTGAATACATGTAAATCAGCAGTTTAAGTTTTTAGTCACTATATTCTCCTTAAAGGACATAGAACAGAATAAACAAAAGTAGTTATCCAAATTCTAAGTCTGCTCCTTTGAGACAGGGAATTCTCTTAAAGGTGAGAATAACTGTAAAACACTCAAACAGTGACAGCTATATTACACCAAGATTTAATCCCACTCTTGATCTCACCCAGGTTCATGGCTTTTAACATCATCTATGAAGATAACTCAAGTTTTGACCTCCAGCCCAGACCTCTCCTCCAAATAACAGACTTTTATATGTATCTACATGACATCTCTAGTTGGATGTCTAATGGATACCTCAAATAGTCCAAAACTGAGCTTCCCCCAAACTCACTCCTCCCACAGTGCTTTCCAGCTGAGGCCAGCTGCTCAGGCCAAATACTGTGGAGTCATTCTTAAATCATTTTTTTCTTTTCTCATGTTCCTCACACCTACTCAGCGAGCAAAGTTTACTGGGTTAACCTTTAAAATATAAACAAAATTCAACTACTTTTCACTACCATCCTTGTCACTATTATCTCCCACTTGGATTATTACAATTTGCTTCCTAACTGGGCTCCCCCTGCAGTCCATTCTGAAGACCAAAGCCAGAATGAGCCTGTTCACATCACATCACTCCTCTGCTCCAAACTCATTTCTCAAGTAGAGGTAAAGCCAAAGTCCTTAAAATCTCGGACTAGGTCCTCCACAAGCAGGCTCCCGGTTACTCCCCGACCTATCTACTCTTCTCTTTCCTGCTGTACCAGCCACACTGGTATTCCTTTAGGAAACCAGGCACTCCTACCTCAGGATCTCTGTACTTACTCTCTCTGCCTACAATGCTTTTCTCCCAATTTCAAGTCTCTGAACAAATGGAACCATCTTTCTTGCCCATCCCCCACCCCATCCTGGCACTGCTTCTCCTCCCATCCTTGCATTACTTTCCCCCTAATACTTACCACAATACCACTTAAATCTTATTAATTTTGTTTTTAATCACCTAATGAGATTAAAAACTCCTCGAGGGCAGGAATTTTTTCACTGTTGTTGGACTGAAAATAGTCCCAAGCAGAGTAATCATTCGGTAAATAATTGTTGAAAATATGAACTTAAAGATAAAGTCATCATTCCCATTCCCATGTTCCCCTTTACTGAATGATTTTAAGTCACACAAAAGTTCTTGGGGTGAAAATAAAAGCAAAAGACCACTACACATTAGTTTGTCAACATGTAATGCCCTGGGTTTATTTTGTGAGAATTCTATCACAATTTTTCCAGGTGGGATTAAAAACCTTAAGGATAATGTATGCCATTGGATTGGGCATTCAGACTTCGGTACTGACAAAGCACTGGTAGTAGTCTGTTAAGTACCATTCTCTTCACAGAAGAGAGGTCAAATATTTCCAAAGGAAGGCACCCGATAATTGTGGTTCTGGCCTTGCAGCCTTCTGGAGAATCTTAAAAGGAAAAAAGCTGGCTGGCTGTTTTTAGAAACTGGAATGATGATACACATATAGCAATTACTGCATTCTTCTCCCTTATATCCTTTTGTAAGAACAAGTAAAGAATGAAGTCTTTTAAACAATTTGACAATAAAAAAGTACAATTTCTTTTGTGCTAAAAAAAAAAGGGCAAGACAACATAAACTCCAGTTGTAAGGACTCCATTTGCATACTTGATTTAACACTTTTTGGTGTGGAAGGAAATTGGACTACTGGGCTGTTTGTAGAGCAGCAACATAACATTAGTGCTTTAAGTACCAGAAACTACCCACAGCTTCGTGGGCAAGTGGGGATGGGAAGATTCAAGAGACTTCATTTTTAGCTTGTTACTTATCCTAATGATAGTAGACCAGGAAGATCCCCATTTAACAGTACATTCCCCCTATTTTTTTTAAACTGATGCCTTTTTTTTTTTTTGTAAAATCTGTATGTATGTCACCATTTTTTTCACATGATACACAGAAAACTCAGGGACCCAGAGGGGAACCAAGTTATGTTATACCATTTACAAAATACCAAGGAGTCCACAGCTACCTAACACATTTACTACAGCACAGGAACCAATGAAGGTACAGTGTACAAAAAACTGTAAACACGGCACAATAAATAGGTAAAACAGCAGGTTCCGCACCATGCACATGATGTGATGACACTTCATCTCTATACAATCTCACATCTCACACTCTTTGTTGCAATTTATTTCCCTCCCACCCCCCCACCCCCAAGTGCAAAGCATCACAAATGAACATTTCTGTATTCAAGTAACATATATACAAGGGTATTACAAATATGCAGTATTGTACAGATAATTGCTGTATTCTTAATTTACAGATGTTGATTTTTTTCCTATTAACAGTAAGAAAAAAAATTGAAGCATGAGAGATGAGCATTGCTGTCAAGTCCCCACAGCTGCCACAGAAATGCATGTGCTGCATTTCATCATCCCCTGCATTCAAAATGCTACTGATGCATAGCACCTAATCAAGTCCCCAGGTTGCAGTCCCACTCCTGAGAGAGCTACGTCACCTCCATCGCTACTGTATTGTCTGCTATGCTGTTTAGTGCTGGCTTTTCTGATTCATGATTTTCCCTGTTGAAATAAAGTTCAATAAATTACTTTTCTGCAACAAATTTAACAAATATAAATTGAACAAACAAAGGCTATTTTCCCAATAAAAAGTTTAAATGTTTTCAATAATAGAAAGAAATTTGACTCTTGGGAAAGACAGCAAGTAGAGGAATAGGAACCTTTATAGTTTATTATCAGAAATACACAACCAGAAGTCAGGATAATAAATTCCATGATCGACTATATTACCAACAGAATTGTAGTAGCACCCAACCTAGATATTAAAAACACTAAAAATTCCCAACTTTTAGTTTTTAGTTTCAATTTCCTCCTCTACTAAACCATTCATCAGAGGTTTAAAATAAGGAACATATGTGGCCAAGGTTCATTCATGTCAGGACTTTAAGTAAGGTTTTACATACAGAGTAGAGCAGGACAGCTACTGAGCTGGGAATCAGAAGACTAGGGTCTTAGTTGTTCAAGCACCTAGACTGCTGAGTGCACCTAGAGAAGTCGGTTAACTTCTCTGGATCTGTTTCCTCATCTTTAAAACAAAGGAACTAAAGTAAGTTATATAAAAAGTTGTTCAGCCCTGGCCAGGTGACTCAATAAGCTGGAGCACTGTCCTGTGAAACAAAAGGCTGTGAGTTTGATTCCTGATCAGGGCACACACCTAGATTGCAGGATTGATCCTCCGTCAGTGCAGGTATGGGAGGCAACTGATGGATGTTTTGCTCTCACATTGATGTTTCTCTCTCTCTCTTCCTCTCTCTCTCTAAAATTAGTAAAAACATATCCTCAGGTGAGGATAAAAAAAAAGAAAAGCTTTCCATATACTGCAAATTTCCATGGTTATACAATTCTATAGTGACAAAAACCATGTATGATATACTTAAGAACTACAACTGATTGATTAGCTGTGACTAGAACCAGAATACTAATAAGAATAGATTAGTATCGAGCAGACAAGGTCTATTAAGTTCAGAAGCAGACAGGGATGCATGGATTTGGAAACTCAAGGCTATAGTTTGTCGCTACAAACCCTGCTCCTCCTTCTAGGCCACTGCCAGCTGAGGAAGTCTAAATATCAGTCTGGCTTTTTCCTACCACTCCAACTTCAACTACTAACCTTCCCAAACCTGTAGACAAACTAGTTTACTTGTTAACCTCTGAACACGTTTATATTCCCCAACTCTCTGTCTTCCTCTTCTATGCCCAATCAAAATCAAATCTAATCTTATTTTGTAGAACATTCCCAGAACACTCTTGTGGAAAGATGTTTCCTTATACTGAAATTATAGCCATAATCTATATAATTAATTTGACAAGCATATAATGCTTTGTGATACCTCTAGAACGATTTTCACCTATTATTTACAATCAACATTATTTAACTTTTCACACTTTTATGCTTTTCTTCTAACTAAACTGAAAACTTCTTGTCTTTCTTTTTGTTTCCCCACAGTACTTTATAAACAGCAGGAATTTACCATTAATATTTAAAACAGAATAGAGCCTGAGTACACATTCTAAACTGTCCATTGAAACCCAAGAAGACCAGTTAGCATACAAAATAATCATCTGATTAAAAGTTGACCTGGCATGAACATTGTAAGGCTTTTTATTTATATGATTAAGAGCAGCTTAGGACTCTAGCCATGTGAGTTCTATCAGTTCTGTCTACACAAAAAACTTTGGGCCCGGCTGGCGTGGCTCAGAGGTTGAGCATCAACCTATGATCCAGGAGATCACGGTTTTAGTCCTGATCAGGGCACATGCCTAGGTTTTGGGCTCAATCCCCAGTGGGGGACATGCAGGAGGCAGCTGATCAATGACTCTCATCACTGATGTTTCTCTCTCCCTCTCCCTTCCTCTCTTTGAAATCAATAAAGATATATTAAAAGAAAAAAAAAGCTTTGGGAGAATACACAAAGAAGCATTTGAAAAAGAACCCCATCCATCTAGAGGTATAAGAGTGAAAACATTATAAGCTGTTATCAACTAAATCCCAAATCATATATGCAATATTCACTGTACCATTTAGTAAAAATTTTCAACAATACTGAATTAGATTTATCTGTTTAGTTCTTTAATAAATAAGGAATTCTCATGTATATATTTTTAATATATATAACGAAAAGAGCAAAAGCCACAAATAAGTAGAGAGCAATGCCTGGGAATTTAAGTTGGATCTCTTTTCAAACACTTTAGTCTTAAAATAATTACTCACCTTGGGGCTGAATCTACAGAGGATGAAGATGGGACCTTGGAAACTTGACAGTTTGCTGCGGCAGCCAGCTTTAAGGCAGACGATGGAACAGCACTTAAAGTCCTAGGTATGTGTCGTGCATTTATGGGGGCAATAGAGTTTACAGTGGCAACTGATGAAGGTACAGTTAATCGAATGTTGTTCCCAATCAGAACCTGAGTTGTTGCAGAATTGGCAGCAGTTACTGGATGACTCAGTGCACTATGGGAACTTGAAGTCTGTGTCACGTTTGAAGGCTGTAACAAAGTTGAACCTGCTGATGGACTCATATGTACCGGTGCTGTTGGTGTAGTACTACTGAGGTGTAAGCCCTTGTATACTCCTAGAATAAAAGAGAGAAGCAACTAAGCAATGTGCAACTTGGCTGTTTATTATAGGAATGTGTTACAAATCTTATTAAAACCACTTAAATGTCATTGTCCTTACCTGAGGCTGGAAGGACACCATTCACCCCAATCCCAAGCACCACATCATCCTTCATCTTGAATCCCATCAGTTGTTCTGATGTCACCAAAGCAGAAGCAGCAAATTGAGCACTAGCAGAATCCAAAGTCTTGGAAACAAAACCCTAAAAAGAAAATAAAAAACAAATCTAATCAGCATCACTTACTTTCAGATTAATATTAAGCTACACAGGTATAGCAAAATCAGTATGAAAAATTAAAGTGGCAAACCACTGGAATATCTTTTGATAGTCAAATTTGAGGAATGTTCAAATAATCTTATAACTCAGGATTATGAATTTGGATCTTCATATGTGACAATATAGAATATGGACAAGTTAATTACCAAAATCAACGTCCTATAACGTGGAAACAATAAACCTCCAACACAAAGTGTTGGATAAGAAATAAGCTAGTAAAACATTTCAGTGATCTGCAAGTACATATAATAAATAAATGAATAGGTAAACTTCTTTCACCTAACTTACCATATATATACACATAACCAAAGGCACCTTTAGGATAGTAAGATAACTATTCCTTTAAAATGGAAGTAACTAAATATCATATCAGATATGATATTAATAAATTAAGAGGTCCTTGAATTTTTTACATGAATTTTTCTTCCAAGATGCTTAGAGAATCAAATCTCAGTCTCTAAGCCTTAAATATGTTTAAATGGCAGACATTTATCATACTTTAGGTTTAAAAGTGATTTCTTCTAAAAGAAGTATAATTTTTAATAAGTTGTAATACTAATTAAAATAACAAGGTAATGAGCTAGATGTCAGTGGGCTTATAATATTAAAGACATATATCAGACTACAGGTCAGACTTGAAGACAGGGTCTCTATCTCATTTAACTATGCTTTTTAGTTTTACTTTTTAAAATAGGGAGCAGAGGCAATAGCTTCTATACTCACCTGTAATGTTCTTTCTAAACCCTGTATAGAATGGCTATGATGTAGATTCAGGCGAAAGCCACTTTTCTGCTGGTTAGATGCAAGGTTCTATGACAACAGTTGGTAATTAGAGATGAACTCTGGTGGGAAACAATGAGGGATAATCATAAGACAGACAAATCCCTCACCTGTGAAGTGTTGGTGGAGGAATTACTATTTGCTTGCTGTTGCTGAATTTGTGCAAGCTGCTGTTTCTGCATTAGTGCCAGTTGCTGTTGATGTTGCTGGTATTGTTCGGCTGTAAATGCTGAACATAAAATGAAGAAATGCTTTATAAAAATGCACAATATCATAGACTTCTGACAATACTAAAATTTCAGCACTAAAAAAAGTTTGTGCAAAATTAAAGCATTTGACAAAAGCTCATGGTCCTGCTAAAGATCACTTTCAAATGAAAATTTAAGCATTTTTACAACCACATTTAACAAGAGTGGCTTGAGACTAAAGAAAAACAAAATTAAACTTCCTGAGTTAAACACAGGAAAGAGAACTGCTCGCTTCCCAAGTTGCAGAACCATTATTTTTGTAATTTGTGACACTTGTATAAAAAGGTAATACCAGGTTGTTTTTTTTAATCCACATATTTGAAATTCAACTTTGCACTGAGCTTGAGAACAGATCTGATAATTACCATTTGGTTTCTAGTTTACTCCTATTACTGTCCCACAATGCATTCAGATGATCCCTAACATAACTGTTCTACATATTTTCTAATTTTAGTCATTATAAACATTTCCTCTATATAAAACATAAGGTTGTTGATTTATTACCTTAAAAAAATAAAAAATAAAAAAGAACCCATCCTTTAAGTTTAACAGGAAGAAAAGAGGCTCCATATGTTAATTTTCCCCACCCAATTAACCCACCTGGAAAAAATCCAGTCAATAAGAACGGAGTTGTTTATGTTGATTTACTGTACAGAATGATGTCTGAGGAAAGACACTGTGTTATGCTACTTATGTTTGTCTATGGAGAGCTCAGTTCTAAAAAAAACAAACAAAAAAATGTTCATTTATTACCCCTCAAAAAGTGTGTTCAGTTTTTAAAAAGGAAACCTTTTTTCATTTTGCCAATTAAAAAAAGCAAAAAAAAAAAAAAAAAGCACATACAATCACAACATCTGACCTTAAAGGCTTCTTTAAGAAGCCTGTGATGTTTAGGTAAGAATTCTTTCAAAACAAAACCAAAAAAGGGTTATCATGCATCCCTGGATACCAGGGAATCTATAAATCATGCAAATTTCCTCAATCTCAAGTTGAATGTTTGCAAAATACTGCCACCTAATTTGTTGTCTATAACTGCATTTTGATGATTTAGTTAGAATATCACTTCATCAAGTTTTGTAATTCTCACAATTCATGATGAATCATTTATCTACCAGTATACAGCTTCCACTCTGTACAACTACAAAGTGTTTGGGTAGAAATTCTACCATATTTTGAATGGATCGGAAAATTGTGAAAGAAGGTATTGGTATCTATATAGCTCTTAAACTTGAGTAGCTGAACTAAGTTTTTGGGCTACAAATTCAAAAAAATAATTTCTTATTGTGAAAATTCTATTGATTTTTAAATTTTGTGTGTTATAAATCTATTTAACTGATACCTGTTCTTTGATGAGTTTTTCTACTATGTTTGAAATCCTCGGATCTGATTTCTAATATGGAAAACTTTATTGATAATAGGATAATCTCTGAATATTGACATAAAAAAGTAATTTTTTGTCAACATGACCATTTCCATATAACAGAAATCTGTTGAATCAGAACTTGAAGAAAATCTACAAATTTGATCTGTCCTGAATGCTTAGAATGAACATAATATTAGTTTTGCTAATGTTTTTGAGATTTATATTTAATTTTCTAAATTTAAGTGAGTTGCCAAAGTCTTGAATTTCCTAGTAGGAATATAGATATCTCTATATTCTAGAGTCTAGTTATAAAATTTCCCCTGGATATTTTTAATGAATGATCTTGAAGAACTGTACAGATTATGTATTAGCTGGAAGCAATGGTAGTAAAAACCATGGGTCTGGGGGCCAAGACATCCTGACTGCTATTTTAGTTCTCAGGTCTGCGAAAGTTGCTTAACCTTTTGGGATTCAGTATGTTCATCTAAATATGAAAGAGATTAAATAGGCGATGACTGTAGTCCTTTTATGCCATGAGATGCTATTTTAAATTTCTTCTGAGACAGAAAATTCCAATCCAAAAGGCTGTGTACATCAAAAGAAAGCTTGGCAAGGTAGTAAATTGGGCCAAGTACAATCTGAACTGGGTTTTAGATTATTACTTATACAGAAAACCAAGAACATCTTGGATGCCATTATAATTCAAAGTGTAACCAAATGTTAAGTGGAAATAAAAATGACCATACTTCCTTAAATCTCTATCAAGGTAGAAAGTTTTTAGGTTATATTGTCTACCTCCATATATTATACTGTGGTAGTCGAACTTGCAATTTACACAAAGATGGACAAGATGGCTTTGTAGACAGAATCAGAATCATTTCTCAGAACCAAAAAGTTTTAAATCAGGAGGGATCCTTAGTGATTTCTTCCTACAACCTCAGATGAAGAGACTTTCATCTGAGGTTACAAAGACATTTACCAGGTGAAGGGGGAAAAGCCCACCTCCAAACCAATGAGATTTAAAATATAAAAAGAAACAGACAAAAGTCTGTTTTAGATTTACTATTTTTGCATGAGAAAATAAATTTTTTTATGTACCGACTTGTGAATCAAGTGCTTAAAAAATCTCATATATACAGCACCTAACAATAGGAGTTTAGGCAGCGAAGAAGTCATGTGAGGGACATGATTAAAACCTGAGAATTGTAAAGGAGCATAACAGGACTTCAAATATTTGAAGGACACTATGATGTTGGAGATCAAGAAAACTTATTTAGTACGCTTCCAAAGGCAAAACAGGAACCAGAAGATTTAAATTTAAGGAGGCAGCTTTTGTTCAATATATGGAAAAACTTCTAAACAAGATACACAAGTGTACAATAACCTGATCAAGAAAGTTGTTGAATTTGCCCTCACTAGAGGTGTCTAGGCATAGGTCAGAAACTATTACTGTTTTTTGTTTGTTTGTTTGTTTGTTTTTAATCCTCACCTGAGGATATTTTTTCCATTGCTTTTCAGAGAGTGGAAGGGGGAGGGAGGGAGAGAGAAAGAGAGAGAGAGAGAGAGAGAGATATTGATCTGAGAGAGAGACATCGATTTGTTGCCTCCCTCATGCACCGACCGGGGCTGGGGATAGAACCTGCAACCGAGGTACATGCCCCTTGGCTGGAATCAAACCCAGGACTCTTCAGTCCGAGGGCTGCTGCTCTAACCACTGAGCAAACCAGCTAGGGCTGAAACTATTATTGTTTTGATAGCTTCTTACAATTCTCTGGGGTAGAAATTTAGATGAAATAATCTAAGATTTTATGAGTCCACTTCTTAATACAAGGACACTGGTGCATCATGTGATACACCAGCAACTAGAATATCTGGTATCTCAGGCTGCTGCCCTTTAGGTGACATTCCTGCAGCTGAAGCAGATCAACTAAAATGATCAAAGTGCAGGTGGGGAAGGTGACAGGTACTTTGGAAAAAATGAACAATTTAAAAATTCAGTTGAGAAGATGGATTCTAGATTAACAAAATGTGTATTTTGTTAAAAAACAAAACAAAACAAAACAACCTCAACAAACCCAAATACTTATTTTAAAAGATACCCCTCAATTACAGTATTTTTGAACAGTACACAGGCAGGAAGTTATTTTAATACAGAAAAAAAAGTTAACTCTTAAGAAATAAACATAAAATAACTCCAGACAGTTTTAAAACATGACTCCCTAATCAGTAAGCTTGAATTGATAGTTTAGATTGAGATTTATCAGTCACACAGATACCCAATCTGAAAACAGAAGTTTGGTAATACATTTGATGGCAAAACATAATTGAACCCTGAACATGAGATTATTTGTAGTCAAACATTTTGCTTAGTGTGACTACTCTTCCATTTCACTGTAAAACTGTAGAACTGTTAATGTATTTTACTATGGGTGCTACTTGAGACTGCTGAGGATGCAATTCTGAATTTTCAAACATATTTAGATAAGGATTAAGGTCTTTCGAATTTACAAAATTCAACAAATTATTCAGTGCTCAAATCTACAGTTCCTTTTCTATGGTAAAATTCAAATTTTATGTTACAAACCGAAGTAAATTGCACTAAGTAAGCTGCAGATATTGAGACTTAAAATATGACATTCTAGATACAAATTCCCTATTCGCTTATGAAAATAAACCAAGTCTTTAGTGCAGATATGTGAGCTTAGAAAACTGATTTAGTATGCCGATGAAATTTCATTGGGAACTAAAAATTCAAATCCTGAACATACAATGGTGGTTTTAAAAAATCACTTTTCTGTTTTCAGTCTTTCTGAATTATATAGAGTCCTTTCTATTTATGATAAAAGGTGTTAATTCTGACATGTGGTATCCCCCAAACTCAAATACATGCAAATAACAGTCACAGAACAAAGATTACATTTTCAAAGGTGCTTTTATCAACTAAAAAAAAAAAGAATTTGGAAACGCTCCAAGTCACATATTAACTAATAAAGATTATTAAAAATACAATCTATCCTTAAGTGCTAAAATCTAGTCTCAAAAATTCTAAATACACATATAGTTAAGTCCTCCCAAGTTCCTCAACACTGTGTCATTCTGCTATATAGTATCCAGAGGATGAAGCACTCCAGCTCCTGACTAACCAGACTACCCATCTGGCCACACAACTATGCAAATTTGCAAAAAGGTCAAGATTGGAAAGCAAACAAAAAAGATTCTGAGCAGTTGAAACAGAGGTTACTAAAGTTGGTGTATTAAAGCTCAGTTCCTTTACTAAAAATAATGGGCTCCTATTTGAAAATGAGAATAAATAGGCCGTTACAGATGATTATTTAGAAAAGGGAAAACTCAGTCCAGAGGGTATCACTATGTCACAGCACACATGTTAACATTTAAAACTATGATAGAATAATAAAAAATGTCTAAATCAAAATCCACCAATTTGGCTTAAGCAGCAAGCCAAGTATACCAACTGACTCATATCTCATACAATGGTTAAGTTCTAAAGTCAGTAAAATAAAAATTAAGCCTTAAAAATTCCTCTAGAGTGCACCATATGATGCAGACCCATCTCTTTCAATAAGCCCAACAAAGCCAGTTTTTCTTCTGACATCAGACTAGATGCAAGTTTCTGTGGTTGAGTAGTATTTGTGGGCTATGTTATATGAAAAAAAAAAATCTTTAAAACTATAATTACACTGCCCAAGATGAGATGCTTAATCTATGAGTGATCAATGCAGGGACTGATGCTATCAGGAGAAAAATAAAGATTCACTTCTCCCATTCCCACTGTAGCCCACTCCAGCAGATACATTATTCTAGTAGAATTGTATTTAGAATCCTGAACCTACAGTTGAATTCACTTAAACATACATATGATGTAACTTCACTGTAATGCACTTTATAGAGCATAAAGAGAAAAGCTTTAGGTTTCTGGAATATTCACGATTATGGAAGATCAAAGCGCTTTTCTACAGCAATCAGTAGGCATCTACTCTTAAAGCATAAGGAAGCTCTAGTAAAATTGAAGGGAAACTGCAAAGAATTAAATGCAACAGGAAAAACTGATAAACCCATTTTTTAAAAGTTATGTCACATATATAAGGGAAGGAAATAATTAAAAAGAAAATTAGAGTTTACTAACATTTTTCCCCCCAGCTAAACTTTTGGTAATACTCCTCCTCTTGTTCGGTGTTCACCTTTTAATATTCTTTGGCCAACAAATCAATAAATTTTACAATTCCAATGCCAACTTAAGTTGTATAGCAAAACAATTTACATAAAAAAGATCACTACNTTCTTTGGCCAACAAATCAATAAATTTTACAATTCCAATGCCAACTTAAGTTGTATAGCAAAACAATTTACATAAAAAAGATCCTAAGGATGGTTACACAATTCAACTTCTCTATTCTAAGAGGTGGAAAAGATGGGGATTGATGGAACATGCCAATTTTCAATGAGAAGTCTAAAATAATTTTACACAGCTTAAAAATCTGTATCAGGGAAAACATATTACAAGTTTATACTTTTAAAATCTCTACACCCAACACTATAAATAAGTCCTCCTTCATTTTGGTTAAGACTATAAAAGCAGAGAGAAACTGACTTTTCATGATACAGAATAAAATTAATGGGATTATAAACAATCTGTTAGGTCTCAAATACTTAAGATTATCTTTTAGTTAATTTCTGAGGAAAAAAGTGATTATTTTTCTTATGAGCTGAATTACTTTTTTTCTAACACAAAGTAAATTATGAAATCTTCTCTGGAAGTCTTTAAGAATAAGCACATTTTCATATTTATTAGAAGGTTTTACTACAGCTTTACCAGATGATTAGGGGAACAGAATAAATATCTTTATAGTCCTTTCAAAATCTGTATTTAAATTATCTTTATAAAAATGTGTAGTAACATAATTTCAACAGTGGATTTCTATAATCTACATGCTAAAATAATACATTTATGCTTTAAAATAGAAAGGTAGCCTGGCTGGCGTGGCTCAGTGGTTGGGCCACAACCTATGAACCAGGAAATCAAGGTTCAGTTCCTGGTCAGGGCATGTTGGGGGCGGGGGGCGGGTTTCAGGCTTGATCCCCAATAAAGGGCGTGCAGGAGGCAGCTGATCAATGAATCTCAGCATTGATGTTTCTATCTCTCTCTCTGAAATCAATAAAAACATTTAAAAAATAAATAAAAACATAGAAAGGTAAAATTTTAGAAATATTTAAAATAGCCATTTATTTTAGACACATTTCACAAAGTAGTCATAATGCTAAAGTAGATATTATCTAAAAATGTTTCCAAAATTATTAAAATAATCTTTTAACTTAAATATTATTCTATGAAAAATTACTTTCTCTCATAATAATTATTCTGAATTACTGTGAAAAATAAAGCTTTGCATATCTATCAACTTGCTGGTCTGCTTTTAAGCAGTATAAGTGAAAGACTAGAGAAGTGTCCAGGCATAAAATAGCAACAAATTATGGTCCTTCCCCCCCATATTATTTTGAAAATGTTTAAATCAATACCCATGTACAAACAGGATTCAAACAGATACTTAAACGTAGGTCTTTTTCTTAACTATTTTGAGAAAAAGACTTTTAGCCATAAATATAATAAATCACATATTCAAAAATTGATAAACCTGACATTTCCATAGAAATGTACATTATAACAAATAAACATACCAAAGTGTGCTGAACCACTGCTACTTTTACTTTGCGTAGAGGTACTGCATATCTGGGTCCCAGGTTGTGCTGTTCCTGTTCGAGTTATACTCCTATATAATTTTCTACAGGAGAGTTCATCATTGTCACTGTCATGTAGGGATGGTGTCCGAGGCCTAAAATGCCGCCATCTACATGACTTGATATTGACTAGTATCTGACTGAGGTCTTTAGAGAAAGATTTGTCCGAGGTATTTGTTTCTGAGGTATTGGCAGACTGATTGATTGGAGAATGTTGTGGTGAGGAAAGCATTTCCAAATCCAGATGGTGAAACATACTGTCATAGTCTGAGTGAGCTCTGTCCAGTAACACCCTATTAAAAATAAGGCAGAAAACATGTGTGTAAAATAGCTATTCAAAAATTTAAAATAAAAATGATTTTCTTTCTCTCCCCCAAATCCAAAAAGCCTTCTCATACTGAATATTTAAATTTGATTATTGCAATTTTTGGCTAAAATCTTAATATCTAATAAGAGTTTTTTATTTAATGTTATAATGATATAATTAAATAAGAGAGTAATCCACCTCAAAGAATAAGGTAAATATTTTACAACAGTAAGAGTTCTAACAGTTCTAAGGGTTGGTTGACCAGTGTAAGTTACTGGTAACATATGAAAGTCTTTTTCTTTTCAAATTACTTTTAAACTGAAGATTTTTCACTTCCATTACAAAGCACCAGAACACTATAAAATGCTGCTAACATATTTGTTCTCTGTTTAAGTAAAACATTCATTGGGGAGGGGGGGCAGGAAGAGGAGGTAGGAAAAAAGCAGTAAAAGGTGTGCGATCTTTGGGATATGTTATACCATTAAAAGTTCTGATAAAATATTTGAGGTGTTACTAACCTAAACTTTATAAATGACTTTACCTTAAAATGTTAATGAATTAATGCTAGTATAGAATAAAATATAGCCACCATAGAGAATTCTCACTACTAGTGATGTCAACGTAATGATATGGGAAAAAGTGCTAAATAAAATGTATTTTGAAGATGGAAGGAGACTTGACTTTGGTGGCTGAACACACAAAGCAATATACAGATGATATATTATAGAACTGTACACTTGAAACCTATATAATTTATTAACCATTGTTACCCCAATAGCTTTAATAAAATTAAAAATATGCATTTTGATGCCCAGGTAATTCTAAACTAATGTTTAAGTGATAAGAACTGCAAACCAAAATTAAAACATGAAACAAATGTGTAAGCCATTAATTTATCATAAATCATACTCTTAGCTTTCTTCCTGAAAGCACCTTGACATTATGTTTTGCTTTTTCATTTTTATCTTATTTTATACAAAAGCTCTCTTTTTCTTTGCTTTTATGCGTTCTGCAATTCCTTCCCTCCCTCTATACAATTTCTCACACAAATGCATCTACAGTATGAAGGAGATCTATCAGGTTTAAAAAAAGGAAGAGCAATGAGATCCCGACAATCTGAGATGTCAAGATCAGGTCATACATGGAACCTGGAGACTTTTCACTGAAAAGTTAAACAATTCAGTATACTATATATGGTATTTCTTAGTCTATTTAACCCCCCCCTTTTTTTTCCTCAATAACTTCAAGAATTCCTGAAACAACATTTGTAGTTTCTTTAACTTAATACAATTTATGCAATCATGGCTTACACTTGCCTTTACTTGGTGCCTTTTGTCAGAATTCTGTGAGGATAGCTATCTGAGGTTTTCAAACTTGGGAAGAAAAGCAGATCCATTAGGGATCCATTAGTTATGCATTAAAAGCTATGGCTGTGCCTGGCTGGGTGTGGCTCAGCAGTTGAACATCGACCTAGGATCCAAGAGACCACGGTTCGATTCCCGGTCAGGACAGATGCATGAGTTGTGGGGCTTGATCCCCAGTCGGCACCTGATCAATGACTCTCACCATTGATGTTTCTGTCTCTCTCTCTCCCTCCCTCTCTTTGAAATCAATAAAGATATATTAAAAAAAATAATGCTATGGCTGTATAAGCACCAGACAGCAAGACAGAGTATTTTGAACAAAAAAATAAGTCAAGAATACAAATGGAAACAAATGAGCTACCCTAAATAGCACTTTAAATTTTAAATTCGATTATCCTGTCTAAAATATCTCTATGCTTAGGATACAGAAATACCTTACCTTCCACCGCGACCAACCCGTCTTCGTGCAAATCCAATACACCTTTGCGGTACGGTAAGGGTAGTTAAGCAGTATCTATATCGCACATCCCCTAATCCTCCGTCCTTAGGACTAGTCCAAGGCCAGTTGCCAGTTCGGTCTAAGTGAGGCTTAAAAAAAAAAACTACGTTATTTTACTTGGTCAGTTAAAGGTAAACATATTGTTATTTAAAAAGAGCCTAAAACTTACAGCATAGTACTGACAGCCTGCTTTCCTACGGAAAGCAAATGGACCATCGGGATCATTCTCTTCCTCAGCTTCCGAAGAACCAGACAAAACCTTTAAATAAAATGCAATGAGTCACTGCATGTGACTTCCTCCTACATTACTCCTCTACATTCATAGAAAAATTCTTATGTTTACCTGGGAGAGAGGTTCTTCATCTGAGCTGGGGAAATCATACTGATTTAAATCTTTAGCATTAAAGACTGGCTGTGCAGCGGGACTCGTCTGTTGAGGAGGAGCAGCAGCAGACGATGGTAAGACTTTGGGCTTCTTTTCGTATTTACGTTTAGGTCGGATAAGATCGGCTTTATCTTGCTGCAATAAAGTCATGAGTTAATCAAACACTAGGAAACCATTTTCGACAAACCCGCAGTTTTGGGAAGTTTTTAAAAGTTTACTACTGTAATGAAGGCATTCATATTCATAGGAAATACAAGACTCTTATGTTTTGTCATCTTATACTGTCTCTCTCTCTCCCTCCCTCTCTAAACTCTAAAGTCTTAGAGTTTGGTTGGTCTCTGTGAAAACATGAATATGCTCCTAAACATCATCGATAAAGTATTTTGTTACATTTAAAGGACAGGAAAAAAGTTCTCCAGCTCTGAAACCCTTAACTGCAATTAGTATTTACTGCCGGCTCCTGTTTCTTTTTCTTAATTTCCTATAAAAATACTAGGAGGGAATTTTTAAAAAGGGATATCTAGTCTTTATTCTAAAAAATTAACAAATCAATATGGAGAAAATAATAATGAAAAATTTTACATATACAGATAGCAGACTTCAGATTACTGTTAACAGTGGAAAATAAAGCCATAATGCTGAGGTGTTAGGAAAGTAAAGAGTAGTAAAGATTTACTACTAGCTAAACAATGAAGTCATTCTGGAGTGGTGAATTTTGAGCAGTATTAGAGGACAATGACATGAAATCTTTAAACAGGAGAAACATGAGGATAAAATACACAGGTAGAGTGACTGATCTGATGAACAAAGGGCATGTTAGAAATATGTATGGCAGGGATGGCAGAGGTAGGAGAGGTATGAATTTGATGTGTAGGGAAAAGGAAATGATTAAAAGCAAAAATGGTATTTGTTGGGAAGAAAAAGATCATGGCAAATATCTGGTTATGTAAATATGCTAAATATTGGTCAAGTTTTATGCAGTTTATGGCATGGTTTCTTGGGAAATGTTAATCACAAAGTTAATTATTATTTACAACTCTACTGTTACAGGCCAGTCTTGAATCAAAAGCTGGCTTTGCAGCGTATTTCATGGGAGGATATACTTTTCTTTTTCACTGATTCTAATGATAAAATATCACTCCATTATCAGCTACTATAATCAGAAAACTTTATATCACCTTATTAACTTTAAACTCCTTCACATCCACTGCTTCCTGATGTTTAAATTGACCGCTATTAGTAATAGGGATGATGGGGATGGCGTAAGTAGGTTTCAATGGCTGTCTCTGTGCCATAACCTCAGACATAATCTCTCCATTGTAGTCACCCAAATTATACCTGGAATTATAAAAACGAAAGTTTAAAAAGTTAGTTCTTTAAGTACTTACCCTTCTATTAATAGCTGAGATGTAATTATAAACAATGATTAGACTTGGGAAAATTAGTTAAACTTTGATTAATTTGCTGAATGCTCATTAAAATGAAAGATTATGTAATTCCTTCTGTTTCTTCCTTTTACTTTCTGGCTTATAGCTTTATATTAGCACCATAAATAGAAGACTGTGGCTAAAAAAACAAAGGCTCAAAAAAATTTTTTTAAGTTTTATTTATTGATTTGAGAGAGAGACAGAAAGAGGGAGAGAGAGGGAGTGGGAAAGTGGGGGACAGAGAAAGAGAAAGAAAGGGAGGGAAGGAAACACCAATTTTGTTCTCCTTATTTATGCATTCATTCATTGGTTGATTCTTGTATGTGCCCTAACTAGGGATCGAATCTGAAACCCTGTCCTATAGGGATGATGCTGCCACCAACTGAGCCACCAAACCAGGGCACAAAGGTACAAATATTAACTTAGCAGTTTTGGTGAAAGATTTGGTCGAGATGTTGAAGTTAATAACTAAAATGGTGCTGAGGAAGTTTCTACTAATTTCAATTGCCTGTGCTATTAAACTAATTTTTCTGAACTGAATCACAAGAAATTCAACAGTGGTTTTCTTTGGGGATAGGGACCAGGAAATAGGGGAGCAAGGCTTCAAGTTTTCACTGTGTACCTTGCTGAATGGTTATTTGAGTGTTAAAATTATGGGCCTTCTCCCTCACTCTTATGTTTTCTTTTTTAAAAATCAGTACCATCTAGTAAATAAAATAAATACTTTAGGCCGGCCAGCAAGGCTCGATTCCCAATCCCCAACCTCTGGTGGGGCGTATGCAGGAGGCTGCCGATCAATGACTCTCTCTCATCGTTGATGTTTCTACCTCTCTCTCCCTCTCTCTGAAATCAATAAAAACATATAAAAAAATAAAAATAAAAACTTCAAATTGAAGTTATAGCCATGCACACACTACATAAGGACAAACAAATATGTAAGATTTCAAAATGGAAATACCTGGCACACTTTAATTTTACTGAACACAATCACTTTTAAAGAAAATAAAGAGAGGAACACATGTAAAATTATACAAAGTATATCATACCACACATTTAAATAGTCTTTATTATTAAAAAAAACACATTTCTGGACTTACAGGTAATTTTTAGGAGATAACTCAGTATACAAAATGCTTATAGTACCATACTTCCTAATGCTATTAAAATATACTTTACCTCTTTTCCATAATTTCCAGTGTTAAGTGCAATAACTCCCTTTTACTCTTTTCTCTTCTTTTTATCATCTCTAGAATAGTAACAGCCCGACTTAGATCTCGACGCAGCTTAAGCATTTTTTCATAAGAGGCTTCATCATTTTTGCGATTCTGAAAATATAAAAGTCCTTGTTTAATGTCAATAAGCATTTCTAGCTAGTGGCATTCTGAACACAGCTACTCATATATATAAGAATATATATATTTGAAGGGTTAGAAGAGAATTTTAAAATACTAAATGAGGGCAGATCACCAGGAAATCAATTTTGTATATGATTTTGAACAGATGAATATCAAAATATACCAACAGCTCCATAATGAATCTTAAGGCCAAATTATTTTAAATATTTTCATTATATTGTATAGAAAGTCTACTTAAACACAAATTAAAACATAGCCTCCTGATACTGAGATATTCATAACTATAGTTTTCTTACATTAAAAAACTTACAAAATGTCTCAAATTCACTTACTTTTCTAGTTTGCATTTTTTCGGTACGTCTTCTAAAAGCCACGTAAGGATCATTTGTGCTGGAACCATCTCGCTTCTCTTGTTTTACTGATGGGATAAGAGATGGCCCTCGACAGTTTTTTCTCTTTTTAATCCAGTATTCATAAACCTCTCTAATTAATTCGTCGTCTTCTTTTAGCAGTAATTTGGCTTCCTGCAGACTGACTGGCTAAATATAAAATTATTATGTCATTTTCATATAGTACACATATATAAGGTTCAAAGATACGTCTAAATTTAAATGACAACAATCAAAATAACAACAGCATTTACAATAGCAAACACATGGAGTGCCTTACATACACTAGTCACTAAGCTAGACACTTTATATACATTATTTTATTTAATTTTCACAACAATTCTATGATAGTTATCATCTCTATTTTACAGATGGGAAAACTGAGGCACAGAGAAATTTAAACATACTGCTCAAGACTATACAGGTTATTGTGGGCAGAGACAGGGTATGACTTCATGCTTACTAATTCCAGAGCCTGTTCCCTTACCTCTCTCCAACATTATACTCTTTCCATATAAGTGTAGATATTTATATAAATACACATAAACACACATATATACAATGAAGTTGTACCTGCTGACCACTGCCTTTCTCTAGACGGTCAATCATCTCCTCAAATTGCAATGGGCAGATGTCCATTTTCTTTTTCAGTTTATTCACGAATACTTCATCTTCAGAATCCAAATCATAGTCAGGCTGTTCAGCATCCAAACTAAAAGCTGACAGAAGAAATCATAACCATCATTTAGTATGTGACGCCATTTGACAAACCTTCTCACAAATGTTTGGGTAAAAACAAGACATAGACTTTCTAAAGAAATAAAGAAGATTTTTGAATTTTGTTTTCAGACACACAATCTAAGCTTGTAGATATGTTTCCCACGTTTAAAGTTTAAGAAATAGAGATTATCTTTACTATTAGTATAGATGTCATAAAAGACAATGGATGTGACTCCACTCCCAAAAGCAAATAAATTAGAAGTCCATTATTAAAACCATAAAGAGATTATTAATGCATATGAAAGTTTTTAGTTCAAAAACTGACAAAATATCAGCAATTTCACATGGTTTGATATAACATAAAAAGATCTTAAGTCCTATCTTATAAATTATTTAACTTCTTTACAAAAAGCGTAGGGTGCAGTATTTAAAGCTAAAGTGTTAGAAGTCACTGCCAACAATAGTAATAACTATCACTTAGTGAATGCATTCCTGGCAAAGGAGGTTTATTCCCTCATGAGACTCACTGTCATGGTGATAGAAATGTGAAGTGTTACTTGTATTTGCCAAGATTTGAAAAAAAGAGGCATAAACCACCACTCTATATTATCAAATGTCATTTAATTACTTATGAAAATGAGGTGAGGTTGACCATAATATAACTAAAATTAAATTAAGTAGCTTGATATCACAATTTGTCTTACATCTTTCCCTTGCCTAATTCCTCCTACTAACTTCCCATCACCTTAGAATCCAAATCCTTACAATTACATGAGCCCCACCTCCCTTTTTAAATATGTTTTTATTGATGTCAGAGAGAGGAAGGGAGAGGGAGAGAGAGATAGAAACATCAGTAATGAGAGAGAATCACTGATTGGCTGCCCCCCTGCATGCTCCCTACTGGGGATCAAGCCTGCAAACTGGGCATTCGCCTGGACCGGGAATCGAAACCTTACCTCCTGGTTCATGGGTCAATGCTCACACACTGAGCCATGCCGGCCAGGCCACAGGAGGTCCTTTTTGATCTACTTGTCCAGTCTCACCAGTATTTTATGACCTAGCAATATCAAATTTCGTATCTCACACAGCAAGTTATTTCGAGTCTTCAGGCTTTTACATTAGCTATTTTCTGCCTGCTCACCTAGCAAATGACTATTCTTCTCAAAACTCAACCTGATATCAACTCCTATAAAGTATAGCATAGGAAATACAGTCAATAATACAGAGTGGAGCAAAAGTAGGTTTACAGTTTTCAGTATGTGAAACATATAGTGTTTATTCTTTTCTTTTTTTTAAAATATATCTTTATTGATTTCAGAGAGAGGAAAGGAGAGGGAGAGAGATAGAAACATCAATGATGAGAGAGTCATTGATTAAGCCCGCAACCCGGGCATGTGCCCTGACCGGGAATCGAACCCTGATCGCCTGGATCCTAGGTCGACGCTCAACTGCTCAGCCATGCCTGGCCGGGCTAGTGTTTATTCTTGTATTACCTATTATTTATTGTATTATTACCCTACAAACAACTGCAAACGTACTTTTACCACCCCCTGTATTGTAATAACTAATAACTATCTATGTATGGTGTGAGGTGGGTACTAGACCTATCAAGGGAATTGCTTTGTAACTTGTATAAGTATCTAATCACTATGCTGCACATCTGAAACTAATATAAAATAAATATTGAATGTCAATTATAATAAAAAATAAATAACTGAATATATCATACCATTGTGTTTCATTTTTTATTTTGGTCTATATCACACTTCTATGACATTCCTAATTACAGTAAATAAATATTAAGACTCATAAAAATCTCTGTATGTTAACATCTTTGCACCCATGTTTGTTTCAACTACAGGCCCTCTAACGATGTTCCATGATCTAATTCTGTTTGTTACTGCTATGGAAATCGAGTTTTTGGAGATCTCGAAGTGAATTAAAAACACTTGTTTCTCTTGTCCCTAACCAAGATAATCTATATTTCTGTTATTCAATAGGGTAACCACTAGCCATGTGTGATTAATTGAATTTCAAGTAATTAAATTAAAAATTCAGCCCAGCCGGGCTTGATTCAGCTGTTGAACATTGACTTAGGATCCAGAAGATCGAGGTTCGATCCCTGGTTGGGGCACATGCCAGGGATGCGGGCTCGATCCCTGGTGAGGGGCATGCAGGAGGCAGTCGATCAATGACAACTCTCTCATCACTGATGTTTCTATCTCTCTCCCTCTCCCTTCCTCTCTCTGAAATCAATAAAGATATATTAAAAAAAAAACACAAAACTCAGTACCTCAGCCCGGCTGGGCATGGCTCAGTGGTTAAGCATCAACCTAGGATCCAGGAGATCATGGTTTGTTTCCCAGTCAGGAAGCATGCCCAGGTTGCGGGTTCAATCCCCAGTCCGGGGCATGCAGGAGGCAGCCGATCAGTGACTCTCTCATCATTGATGTTTCTATCTCTCTCTCTACCTCTCCCTTCGTCTCTCTGAAACCAATAAAGATATATATAAAAAAAAAAAAAAATTCAGTACCTCAGTTACATTAGCCACATTTCAAGCCACAAACGCAACATATGGCTAGTGCTGTAACAGATGGCAAAGATTACAGAATGTTCCCATCATCATTAAAAGTTCTATTAGAGTGGTGATCTAGATAATCCAGAAAACCAAATTGATAGGGACCATCTAGCAATGTTCTGCCTTTGTAAGGGCATATTTTATATATTTTTAGGGTCTCATTTATACACTACTACTGCATCCTCCACTATAAAATTTGTTTCCCCTTAGATCAAACACATTTATAAAGCTTAATTATTCATAGAGAAACAGGCTCATCTAACATCAACTTACTTTTGCATTACCAAAGTACATCTGATATACTTCTGGCATACATTATACCATCAATGACAAGTCATGTCCAACATATCAGGAAATGGAATCAAGACTGGAAAGGACAATTCCTATCCAAGGGATCTCAGTGTGTTTCCCACTGAAATTAGCAAGTATCTGAGAGTCAGAGTGCTCTTGCCTCTGCAAGAAGCTATTCTTTTAGTTGGTACAAATATATCTAAGATCTTAAAATATAAAGAGAGCCCATTCTTGTTCAGATATAAAATATTAAAACCTTAGAGAAAAGCTAACATGAAAAAATTCACTTTAGGATTTCATTTGACCAAAATAAACTCATAGACAATGATCTAAGTATAATTTAGCTTCAGCCAAAACTGCAATTCTGACAGCTCAACCACAGCTAACAGATGTAATATATTTATTATGGTCCTAGAAATAGGAGTGTCTTCTAATTTTCTGGGCCATGTTATTGAGTGTGTTCAAAGTAGAAAACAGGGTGTAAAGAGAATCAGGCCAATGGGTTGCTTCTTCTAATTAAGTTCTGCCAATTAAAATGAGACCTAGCTAGCCAATAATTGTTAAATAATGGGAACCATACTGTAGAAGCTGACTCCTTTAAAAATATTTGATAGGGACAAACACAGATACGTGTATGGTTAAACAAAATACAATATAATATACAGATGGACAAAATACTATTGAAAACAAATCTAAGCAAAAAGAACACAATACATATAAACTGAATAATTATTTTAAATAGACTGGTACAAACCATGGTACTTACCCTCAGACTTAAGAGTCCTGTGATAGAGATGAAACGTATACGAATGTCTGTGTAACAAATGCCATATTGTGGCTTGGACTAAGTGTGTACAGGTGGGTATGTCCATAACTCCAAATAGTATTTTTAAAACATAAAAAGCAAATAGTGAAATAATATTTGGGCCCATGGAATGCACAAAATGTGGGTTACAAACAATATAATTCCTGATTGAAAGGAAGGCACACTATTCAAGGTTGAGGAGAAATTTCTCAGATCAGGAATGGTAAATAGGTTTCAACTCAGTACTAACTCTCAATGATTAGTTAATATGTACTTGCAAAACTCCTGGAGTAAGTACATTCTGAGCAGCAGAAAGTATTGTCATAATAGTGATATTTACTTTGAGGTGGTAGGTATTTGATATTTTTTGCCTTAGACTGAAGAAGACAAAACTATCAATGGACAACCAGACCAGGAAATTCTTTCAACATCTCCCCTCCCCCCCCAAATATATCGTTATTGATTTCAGAAAGAGGGGATAGGGGGAGGGGGAGAGAGAGAAACATCAATGATAGAGTCATTGACTGGCTGCCCCCCTGCATGCCCCACAGAGAGAGAGAGAGAGAAAGAGAAAGAAACATCAATGATGAGAGATTCATTGACAGGCTGCCTCCTGCATGCCCCTCAGTGGGGATCAAGCCCACAATCCTGGCATGTGCCCTGACCAGGAATTAAACTGTGCAATCTCCTGGATCAGGTTGACGCTCAACCACTGAGCCATTTCGGCCAGGTTTTCAACTTCTTTATAGTATTTATAAGTGATTAGAGCTTGGAGTTACGTCTAGAATGTTCTTGGGAACAGTAAGTGGAGAATCCCACATTTGAAAGTTCTAAAATCCCAGAAATGAAAATTTTTGTAGACAAAGTTCTGTGGTTCATGCTACAGAGTTTATCTGTCAGGAAGTGGTAGCCGAAGAGTAATGGGGGAAGAATGTATGTTGTAGTGGGATGTGGAGGCAGTCAAAGGGAAGGAGAAAGTATGTAATCTTTGAGAATGAGGGCATAAAGACAGGATACATCTATTCTGAGAGGCAATAAAAATAAGCTCTACATGTATCTATTTTAAAAAATATATTTTTATTTATAAGTTTAAATTTGTAAAAGATGCAAAATAAAAATGGTACAAGAACACCTGCAAATCTTACCCAAATTCACCCAGTGTTAAAATTTTATTGTTTTATCATTTGTGTGTGCATGTATGCTCTCTCTCTCTCTCTCTCCACACATACACTTATTTATTCATTTTTAATGTTTTTATTGATTTCAGAGAGAGGAAGGGAGAGGGAGAGTTAGAAACATCAACAATGAGAGAGAATAATCAATTC